CACACACACACACACACACACACACACACACACACACACACACACACACACAAACAGACGAAGCCACTTATGTGATCCTGCCACGTGGAAACAATGTTGCTTGCGAGATCGGCTTGCTGTGTGCCATCCAAAAGAGTTCATCCCACTGCCAGGATTGGATGTGCTGCTTCCACACGCTTTACCCCAATCATTCATGTCCTGTCTGTCGTCCTTGTCATATGCCAAAAGATGCACGCATTCTGCGCAACCAGACCAATCAGTGACCACAGTCTGTGGTCCTTGTTCAGTGACCACAGTCTGTGGTCCTTGTTACATTGCCAGTCTGTTGTGCGGGTGATTACTGAGGATGTGATTGGATCCTCCCTCCCTTTTCCTCCTTTTCTTCCACTCCTCCCTTGTTTTGATCCTTTTCTTTTTCTCACTGTTTCCCCCTACCTATTCCCCTAATCCTTTCCCAGTGTCCCACCTGGAGATCTACATTTGGAAACGGATAATCGTCTCTATCAAAAAAGTCAAAGTTAGCAAGTTATTCTAAGGGTTGTGGGTTGCAGACTATGTACCTACGAGGTTGTCGGTTGCAGACTATGTACCTACGGGATGCTTTCCTCTCTGATCTCCCAGCCTACCTATCCCCTCGGGGTTGAGCCCTCCCGGTTGAGCCTATCCCATCAGGGTTGAATCTAATCTCTAGCGCGGGTGCACAGTCCTACTAGGGGGGGCGAACTGTCTATCTCAGGTGGTGAGCCCGAAGTGTGAAGCAGGGGGCCATAGGGAGCCGAACGGATGTCGTGAGGAATCGAACCCACAACTTCCTGAATACCACTTACGTGCTCAACCAACTGAGTGGTAGATACAAGATTTGAGAAGAAAATAGGGTCCTGAATACCACTTACGTGCTCAACCAACTGGAGTGGTAGATACAAGATTGAGAGCAGAAAATAGGGTAGTAAATACAGCTTGTCCCTCATATACGAGGAGAAGACAGCTGTATTCTTTATACTTCAAAAAAAAAAAGACAAAGTTACACAAGCGCCAGTGCGTGTATCACAGACAGAGATCTGGGCAGTAACGTGGCCAACCTTGCTCTTTCAATGAATACATAAGATGAATTGAAAAATTTCCTCTTGAAACACTTAATGGAACGGGGGATGAGTAGGTTATGAATGGTAAGGAATGACCTACAAAAACGCACGCAGTCCTCCATCTCCCCCCCCACACACCCACACAACCACACACCCACACACACATGCACAGGCCATGCAGACCTGTGCACCTGCACAGTTGCACACACACACACACACACACACACACACACATACGGCTCCATGTTTATGAGAAGCATGGTATCAAGCATGCAATCACAACTTCTAAACTTAAGGTTACCCATAGGGGGAGTCCAATCCAAATTCAGGAACACATGCTAGCACAGGCGGTCTGTGTTTCCCTTATGGAGAAGAAAACGAAGGAATTGGGAAGAAAACTTCACTCCCCCAACAAGGATTGAAGAAAACCAACATGAAAAATTCCCTCCACCGACCCCTCCCCCTCCCTCATGCTCCCCGACCCTTCAACGTTGCAACCAGCCATTCGCCAACGAAAACATGAGCTCACCGATAATACTCGTCAATCACAATGTCTCGAAGGTCATGATCGAAGCTGGCTATGTGTTCGAAGTCAACAAAAAGTGTTGTTTTGCCGTTGCTTCTCATCAACCCTAGCTGCTCAACATACTCCCGCTCTCCTTCATTTTCATTACTCATCGTATCTGTTGTTTCCTTTGAGAAACTGGCAAGAGAATAACACATACAAAAGGGGGGGGGGGGGGGG